AGTCTTGAAATCCCCCATCCTAGGGAAAAGACACCTATCGTTTACCCTTCCTATACCCCTCATGATTTTATAAACCTCTATAATGTCACCTCTCAACCTCCTACCCTTCAGTGAAAAACGTCCCAACCTATGCAGCCTTTCCTTATAACTCAAAACTTCCATACCTGGCAACATCTTGGTAAATCTCTTTTGAACCTTCTCCAGCTTAATAACATCCTTCCTATAACAGGGTGACCAGAACTGGATACAGTACTCCAGAAGAGGCCTCACCAATGTCCTGTACATTCTCAACATGTTGTTGAAATCTTCTGAAATTAGTTGTAATGCCCAAATTTAATTTAGCAAAGTTGAAGGGCTTGGTGAATGAACTCTTCCACTTCTGAAGGATGCAATTTATGCTATTTTTTCAGTACAAAAGTGTGTTTTTCTCTTGTTTCTGGTCTTTATAGTTGTCCTCCCTTTATAGATTTTTTTGGATTTACTCTAAATATTCCACCACTTTGAAAAAAGTCCATTTGCCCTAGTGATCTCTTAATTAATTAATTTTTGTAATTTTATTTTGAGGTTCGGTCAGGCCAGGTATTGATGGCTAGTAGCTAACAACATTTTGTTTGTGGAGTTATTAATTTCTCATTAACTTTCGATAAACTGGTTAACCAGGCTGTGAAGCATTCAATACCATAGATAATGATTTTCCATTTAATTGTCTTGCATTTATAGCACTGCTGTGGGTGATTTAAATCAAACCCTTTTATTTACATAAATAACCAACTTTCAACCAGTCATTGATTACTAGCTGTCAGTGATAAACTATATGTGCAATTGCACATTTGCCAAACTCTGGTTTATTTGCAACTGAAGTGCCATTAAAATAGCCACAGTTAGAATGATACCAAAATAAAATATTGCAGGTTCTGGAGAGCTGAAATCGAAACAGGAAACTCAGCAGATCTCTCAGAGAGAGAGAGAGAGTTAGTGTTTTGAGTCATTATGACTTCTTCTGAAAGAAAAATATTAATTCTGTTCCTCTCTCCACAGTTGCTACCAGATCTGTTGAGTTCTCCAGCACTTTCATTTCTACTGGTTATTCCAGTAGAATGATGCTGACTAAAGTCAGTTACTAGTAAAGCTTCAAAGATAAAAGAGATTGAAGGCAAGAATAAAGAACAAAGCCTGTACTTGGATCAAAAGCACCTGAATTGAAGTAGATTTTGGACATTAAAATGAGTCTGGTTAGCAGACCTTTGTCTCCACTTCAAAAGTAATAGAAGAACAAAATAAGAATACTTTCGACATTTTTGAATTATGTTATTTAATTATATATAGACACAGTTATCCCATCTTTATTTTAAAGTGTCCTGATTCTGAACCATTAAAATCTTGCACAACTACACAAACAACACACATTATGTCCCCAAAGTAATGGAAAATTCTCAAAAAAAATCAATCTTGCTGTATTGAACTACATGTCATCAATGTTTGCATCACAGACGAAATTAGGCTAATCGTTATAGTCACTTACATTTAAACAAGAACTCAGCTTGCCATCTTGATAGCATGGCCATTGGAAGATCTCATTAGAAGCTTCGTGGTTCCTTCGAAAATGTGAAAATAATGCATTGTAATACTATCTGCTCCTTTTAGTTTCCCCACGAGTATTATCAGTCAATGCCTGGGAACAGATTATCTGCCCATCCACATGACAAGATAAAAGTCATGTTAGCCCACACTGTGATGCTGTAGAGCACCCCTCCTGAATACTGCAGCTCAAATGGAAGCCAGACATAGAGTTAGTGAGAGGGTGTCTTTGGGCTTACTCTGTACATTTAGACTGGAACAACATTTCAAAGTGATGCCCTAATTACTTAGTGAATTTTGGTGAACAGTTTGGTGAACAATTTTACAGTAAGCTGATTGACTATTAATACCAAAACCCTTACAAATGTTCAGTTTGTTGTCATCGTTTATTATTTTCAAGAGGTAGGCTGGCACTCTTTTTGAAATAAATTTGTACTTAAAATAGTCAGTAATGTATGCAGATGTAAAAACGTTGCAACGGATAAGAGAAATGACATGGTACGAGAGAAGAAATTCATTTCACTAGGGCCACTAAGTAAGAAAAACTTTTTACGAGAAATGTACGAATTGATATGTGTTTACAGATTATAAATGAAATCAAAAGGAAGAGAAGACAACTTCTTGAGTTCACAAAAGAATCAGATCTG